TTTCGACTTATAGAAGTGGGTTGGCCTCGTTGTCGCAACTTGGTCTTGTGTTCAGGGAGACTATGTAGAATGCACCGAGTCCGAAGACGTCTACCATAGTAGTTGTCTTGATTCCGAGCATCCGACAGTGGACTTGATTCATTCTCAAACGTTTCGCCGGCCTCGTAGTCAGCATCATCAGTGAGCCTTGCCATTCTCCGCACCAAGATACATACTCGCGGTAAATAGCAAGTGTGATGAGGCCAAACTCGGTTTGCCACAAAAGAGCACACATTTTGATGATTGGAATTTAAACAAGTGAGAAGTTGTGATAGGGCGGCAGTGGGATAATAGGGTAAAGAGTAGATAGATAGGCCAGGACAGGAGGAGTGATAGTGTAACCGTTTCCAGCAGAACGGTAGTCGAGGGATTGAATTCTCACAGATAGACAGTGACAGAAAGAGGAGTGATAGTGTAACCGTTTTCGGCAGAACGGTTGTCGAGAGATTGACTTCATAGGGTAAGGAGAAGATAGATAGGCCAGGACAGAAAGAGAAGTGATAGTGTAACCGTTTTTCAGCAGAACGTTTGTCGAGGGATTGGCTTCACTTTCCTGCTCTGACGAGTTCGTATCTTGGTGCGGAGAATGGCAAGGCTCACTGATGATGCCGACTACGAGGCCGGCGAAAGCATCTGAGAGATGTATCAAGTCCACTGTCAGATGCTGGGAATCAAGACAACTACTATGGCAGACGACTTCGGACTCGGTGATGCAGGCCACTGTCAGATGCTGGGAATCAAGACAACTACTATGGCAGACGACTTCGGACTCGGTGCGTTCTACATAATCTCCCTGAACACAAGACCAAGTTGCGACAACCAGGTCAACCCACGTATTATTTATACAATTCGTTCGTGTTGTCAGGACGTCCTCGATAAACGCGATTTTTTCAGAGTCATCATTATAGTCGTCACAATAATCTCCAGGGCACGACCATATACTTGGTACATTCCTAGACGCATCGCTTGCATCGCAAGCAAGCTAAAAATAAACTCATTAAAGTAACGAGAAAAGTGCATCCATTGACCAATTCGCTGCTGAAAATTTATGGTATCCTACCTTATGTTCTATAAAATTCGCCTATTTCATAGCCTCGTATCCCACCT